TAACCCAGATTTGGAAATGGTGTGAACAGAGGCATATCTAGATTCGTGCTAATTATAGTTTGGCTAATAAAAGCTCTCGTATAACAAGTACAGATGCCAAATGGAAATTATGTAATTCTGCCTTTCAACTAATTGTTAAAACTTTTGGGAAACCACCCATTGATTTATTCGTTTCTGTTATCAATATGAAATGTTATAGATACGTATGTTTTTTTAATGCAATGCACATTCAGGTAACCGTGTTTTTTTCAATATTTGTTGAAGGAAACAACTCAAATATGGGCCCTTCAACAGTATTCGCTCTGCTTTGGCCCTAATATTGCCCGATAAATTAGGCAAACATTCCCTAATTGAAGGATACTGGGGCACACACACTCAATTACCCTAATAATTAAGCTTTTTCCTGATGACACCTTTTGACAATAATTGCTGTCTAATAGTTTCAGACATTTAGTCTAATTAGAGTGAAAAATATAATTTTCACAAATGAGGGGAGGGTGCTGATTTTTATCCCAGATCAGATTGAAATATCTGGCCCAAATAAGACGCAACCGTGTCTACAATCAATTGAATCGTTTACAGAAAATCCGAACTTCTGTTTAGTTTCAACCTTACTAGAGTATATCAACAAAGCAGATCTACGAAACACCAGATAATGATTATATTTGTATATAATACTCTCCCTTTCGACAGGGTTTCAAGCCAGACTTTGAGCAAGTGAGTCAGAAGTTCACTGATTAGAGCCGGCATAGATACAAAGATTTTATCGGACTAAACATGCTTCAACATCCACAGCTTTCCAAAAAAGATCTACCGTTAAATATGAGTCGTAAAACTGTATACTGGACAATAAACTCTAATACCTTTTTCTAATACCAACAATAAACCCATGTTGAAGGAAATGGAAGAATTGCCAAACATTTTAATCAATAAGAGGTGAAAATTTGCACCCCAACATATGTATTTTAATTTATACTATAATTTTTTTTTTACTGTAAAGAAAAACACTTTATTTGTGACTAAAATTTATAGCATAACGAATGAAATGCATTTTTTTTGTCCAAAGTCTTTCATTCCTTTTCAGCGAAAACAATATAAAATTTTGAACAACTACATAGTGGATAGTTTTACAGTAATCTATGAAGAATGAAGCGCCTAAATATAACTTATCGATCAAACGAACTCTAGGAAGTTTTATCGAAATTATATGAGGCGAGCTTCATTTGAATACATTAATTTCCACCCACAGAATAAAGAAATTAATAATTATTTATTATATTTCAGATCAGATTGATTTCAAATCTCCCTTCCCTTTATTTTTCCACTGGTAATCTCAAAACTATGTGATGCTCGTCAACAGCGTCGATAGGTAGGTAGTTAATAAACAATGTTAGTAGTTACTTTTGGAACACTTGTCGCCATCTAGCACCGGAAGCGGTACTATATAATGGACAGTTTTATCTTTGTATATAGTCCAACTGCGTTGAGAACCTTGTGAACATCATAAACAGTTTGTTGGTCCTCTGACACTTTCCCAGAAGCTGGAAAGTGGAAGCATGCGATCGTCGTCATGATCCCAAAATAGGGTCAGAACCCGCTGTTCCCACAGAACTATCGCCCAATCAGCCATCTCTCGTCGGCGGCTAAGCTGGCTGAAAGAGTCGTTCTCCAAAGGCTCAACGAAGAAGTTGAGGACCGAAATGTTCTGCCTGATGAACTATTTGGCTTCAGGAGAGAACACTCCACTGAGTTACAGGCTCTAAGGCTGGTCGAAAACACCATCCACGAGTTGAACACTAATAAAAAAGTGCACTCTGTACTGTTGGACATCTCGAAGGCCTTCGACCGTGTATGGCACTAAGGCCTTCTGCACAAGTTAATCGCGTTCGACCTGCCTCGGGGCCTGATCCGGTGGATTGGGTCTTTCCTGAAAGACAGAATATTTCAGGTTAGAGTAGAGGGTTCTCTGTCTAACAACAGAGAGATCCTCGCTGGAGTGCCACAGAGGGCCGTGCTCTCTCCGACGTTGTATTCACTTTACACCAGTGACCTTCCGAGGCCCGAGCGTGTGAAGATATCCCTATACGCCGATAACACGGCTCTCCTCTCGTCTTCCATGGGTCGAGAGTTCGGTGTCGTCCATATGCAACGTGCATATGGTACGAGCGCTGGTACCTCGATTGGAAGATCCGAGTGAACACGCTTGGACGCTTGGTCGGTAGTATATAGGTAGTCAAGGGTTTTTCAATTGGCGCGGGTAGATTTTGGCGCCCCGTGGCGGCCATTTTGTTTTGGTGACATCTGTGAAATCTTTTGTTTATTATTCAGTTGCTTATGCCAAATCATCATGGCAAGTTACACGATTGAACAGTACGTTCAAATGATAAAAATTTATTATTAAAATGAGTGTTCGTTAACGCAAACGTTGCGCGCATTGCGCCCATTTTACAGTAGACGTGGTGGCCCTTCACAGTCGACTCTTCAACGTTTGGTGGCCAAATTTGAGACGACCGGTTCAGTAAACAATCAGCCAACACCCGTACGTTCAAGGAACGCAAGATCGGCCGAGAATATCGCCGCGGTCCGTGAAAGTGTACAGCAGAACCCGAGGCAGTCTATTCCTCGCCGTGCACAAGAACTCGGCTTTTCGCAGACTTCAACTTGGCGAATTTTGCGTCGGGACTTGGGCCTACACCCGTACAAGATCCAACTGACCCAGGAGCTCAAAGTTCATGACCATAGATAACGCCGTTTTGTTCGCTGACTGGGCTTCGAATCGTTTGGAAGAGGACCCCAATTTTGGCCGAAAAATCATCTTTAGTGACTAGGCGCATTTTTTGATGAATGGCTGTGTTAACAAGCAAAATTGCCGTATATGGGCCGACAACAAACCACGCGAGGTTCACCAGGTGATAATGCATCCTCTTATGGCCCAAATTGAACCATATGGACCTAGACGATATGTGATTCCAGCAGGACGGCGCTACGTGCCATACAGCAAACGCCACGATTGACATTTTGCATGAACGATTTGAGGGTAAGGCTATCTCTCGCAGGGGTGATGTGAATTGGCCACCAAGGTCATGCGATTTGACCCCGCTAGACTTTTTCATGTGAGATTTCTTGAAGTCGCAGGTCTATGCAAATAAACCACAATCGACCGATGCCCTAAAGGTGAACATAACAGAGGCCATCGCTCAAATTCAGCCGGATCTATGCGGAAGAGTCATTGAAAATTGGACCACTTGGATCCGTGCCACCGTAAGAAGCCGAGGCGGGCATTTGAATGATGTCATATTCCACACTTGATGGCATACATGCGCCTTTCAAATGAAAAAATAATTATGGTAATACCTCACACACAGCTTGTTTTATTCCATTTCAACATCTACCCGTCCTTATTGAAAAACCCTTACAAAGGTTTTGTAGTAATTTATTCGGAAGAAGCACCTCATATAATTTCAACCGAACTTCCTAAAGTTCCTTTGATCGGATAAATGATTTTTGTCTGTTTTTTTTTTGCGTTCCCAAAGTGTTAGTATAGGAATCCGTTACGACAGACCAATCTGATTTGCCTGACAATTTGTAAGAACACTTACATGTGCAGTGAAAATAGTTGTGGCGATAGTTCCAGGGCAAATTTCAAGCAACAACTTCTATTGATAATTTCAAAAAAGCCTTTAAAAAAATTGTTATGTGACTTGGCTTGTACAGTGTTAACCGTCAAAGCAAAATGGAAATTATATTCATCTGAATAAAATTTGATCTCCAACATGAAAACGGCGTCAACTTTTTTGTAAATTTCAAAAAAATTGAAAATTTGACAGGCCACCCATCTTACGGATTCATTTGACATGTGCCCAAAAATAAGTGTTGTCAAATAAGTGAAGTCTTTTTGAATGAATTGATAGTATGCCAAGGTACCCACAAATTGAAATTCTCACAAATCAGAGAACGTTTTTATACCGAATAGGAACAGGCGATATGTTTGAAGATATCATTTGTATGATAAGTGAATGTGCATGCAAAATGTGAAAGCTTTGAAAATAACGTTAACATTTCCGTTAATGGCGAAAATGAATTAAAAGAGAAATGAGTAAAATTAAAATACTTTTCAAAAAGGTAGTTTTTAATTTAATAGAACTAAGAAGTAGTATTAATTTTTACATGAAATCTATGTGTTATAATTGAAGGCGTTCGTTCACTTACAAATGTAACACTCGAACTATAAATAATTTCAATTTAAAATTATCAAATATTTGAAAAGGTGTTATTATTCTGAGGCATCTGGTAATGCAGATAGTCAATTTTAAAACTGTATGACCTTCTGAATGATTCCGTTTCGAAAGAGGGTAATGGCAACAAGCCTATTTGCCCTAATATTTAATTTATGTATATCCATTTGATACTTGATTTTCGTGTGGAGAAATTTTTTAGTGATAATTTCATGAAATGGAATTTTCTCCTGTTGTTCATATTGAGCCATCCGATTAGCAAAAGTTTATGAGATATCCTTCGTCTTCTCGACAAACACTAAATATCAATCTGAGGCAGCAGTTTTGAACTTTTTGAATTTTATTTTACATTGTGTCATAATAATCATGTGATTATATAAGTTCTCTTAAAAAAACTTTGTAATAATGGTCACATTAGATCTATGAAGATAATCTGCTCATTTGGAGAAAGGGAATATCAGTGATTTGCAGAAAATGTTTTTGCATTGAATGTTAAATCTGCAGTTTCTATGAATAATGTTCAGAAAAGAATCCAAGAAAGTTGCAATTTTGATAAAATGTTTGAAGAAGTTTTGATGTTTTTTTCAATTAATTTCAGATTCTAACCTACTTTTTTCACCTTCATTTCAAGCATCTGCAAGATTATAAATGTATCAAAAAGGAAATGAAGGGTACACTAGTTCAACGCAATTTTCCTCCAATTACATCACAAACGTGGCGACAAAAATCTTTGACATTTCGTAATCCCCCTTAATAGGAAGCTACTGTCTACTGTCAAAATATCAAACGTCAAAATTTCATTCTCAAAAATTGTAGGTTGTACTTGCATTGAATCCATTTCTATCATCTTAACGTTTTTTTGTTTCACAACTGAGCTATTTTCTAAAAAAGTAGAAATGGCTGGAATTGTGAAAAATGTTCGCGTTCTTGCAAGGAGTTCCGCGTATCTTAGCTTACTGTCGACAAGGACACTCGTAACAAATATAATTAAAGTCAAACAACCACAATTATCTATTTTACAAAACTCCAAGATTTCAGTTTTTTCACAGGTAATAAAGAAACCATTTAATCATTTAAATTCAGTAACGAGTTGATCCCGTTTCAGTTGTGATTCAATTTTACATATTACATAACTTTTAACCTAACTTTCTTGTGAAAACAAGGGGTTAATCAGTTTTCTTCATCTCTAGATAAGGTTTTACTCCCCGGAAATTGTACGACCCAAACCTACTGAACACGAAATTAAAGAAAGAGTCTTGAAAGTCTGTGCATCATATGATAAAGTAACAGCAGATAAGGTACTTATATTAAACATTATTTTTTATTTCAGAGACTCGTTTTGCCACATGAGCGAAGTTACAGTTCTAAGCCACCAATGACATTAAAGCTCATAACAGAGCGGGTTCTATTAGTTTTAAAACTTTATGATAAAATTACTCCCGAAAAGGTACAGTAATTTTGCTTAAAAAATATAGTGGCACATCAACTTAACAAAGTTACAATGAAAATCGGCTTGAATTTGTTAATGTCTTACACAGCCATATACAATTATTTACTAAAATAAGTTGAGAGTGATGTTACTCTAATTTGCACATAAGAACGACTGTCAGAATAGTTGTTTGCATAATTTTATACATATATTCACTTGAATCTAATATAAAAAATTTTCATGTGTATTTCTTGTTGTCAGAGATGATGAAGTTATATGCAGAAGAAATAAATTATTATTGAAGATTGAAATTGTCATATTCTTGAAACGTTCAATTCCTGAATTCCCTATCATTTTATGGGAAATCGTTTATATTTTATGGGTAAGAGTAATATCGACCAGTATTTTTCACATTTCATTGAATATATTAATATTCATACAAACTACACACATGTGCATGTGTTTATAATTGGCTTATAATTCAACAATAAACACGTGATATTTTGTCAATTTCGTGGTATTGAGCCAGCATTAAATTTTCATTAATTTGTCATTTTCATGGCATTTCAATATGGCAATGTGACTGAAACGAGATATTTTTAACCTGATAAAATTTTGTACACATTCATCTAATTTCATATTTCGAGAAGCCATCCAACTGTTTTGACAATCGCCCTCATGTATATTCAGACGTCAAACAATGTCTCCCCACTGATACTTGGGACAAGCCTTCTTTCAACCTAAATGTGTCACTCTATTGTGGTAAAAGTCTCTGTTCACCAGGGATGATTAGTTTTCTATATTTTTGTTTTTTTTTTGCAGCTGACATTGGAATCACATTTCATTAACGATCTTGGTTTAGACTCCTTGGATCATGTTGAAGTTATAATGGCAATAGAGGATGAATTCGGTTTTGAAATTCCTGATGCCGATGCTGAAAAATTACTGAGACCTGCTGATATTGTACGATATGTTGGAGATAAAGAAGATATTTATGACTAGAGTATTCATTTTCTTCAACAAATTAATTCTACTTAGATTATGTGTAAGTTGTAAGTGTAATTGAATAAATCTCCTAAATTGTTATTGAATCATTGAATTATGAATATGCCAAGAAAATAGTGAGGAATGGTATTGTTTCATTCAATAATTTTCAGTTTTACCCTTTGATATACAAGTTATCAATACCTAAGACAAAATAAATTGAGAAGAAGTTGAAAATATATTTTTTTTTTCTAACTTACATATTTATTTATTAACACTTCCAAAATACGAATCATCAAATTATAAAACAACAATAAAAATTAATAATATATATGTATATTTGACAGCTTAAAAGCGTGGCCCTCTTAGAGGTATCAAGAAATCCATTCCTAACTTCTCACCACAGTTAAAATGTGTCTTTGAATTTTGATATTGGAAATTCAGATATCTGCTATTGATCACTGCCATTAAAATGAGCAATGTCCTTAGCATGGGATAATAGCTGTCATTTTACTACCTAGGTAACTATTCTTGACCTATTCATTAAATATATCTAGAAAAGTGTCTTCAGTATCTAGTACTGTAGCTATGACTAAATAGGTAGTATTCATATATAAAACCTCTGATGTTGCTCGTGGGTGACTGTAATAATGGTCAGTTGACTCATATGTGAAGTCATATATAATGTAAAGAAAGTTGTCATTGACAATGTTTCTTGGTGAATATTAGAAGATCAGATTTCCATTATCAAAAACATGTTAACAGTTTTGATAAGAAAAAAGTGAATATTGAAAAATACCTGGTCTGAAATGTTCAGTTTTCTTTTTTTATGTTTTTAAGAAAAGAAAAACTATCAATTATCATTTCTTTCTCAAATACTCAATCGGGTGTATAGTCGAAGTAACCTGTATTGTGAATAGTTGAAGCTATCGGCATCTCAATGGTCAAAAAAAAACAATACAGAGAAATAATGCCGCTGCCGACTAGCCCTCGTGGACTGAAGAATTAGCGGTTCATATTGGATAATTTTTACTGACCGAGTTTTATGAAGAGTAATAAAATTAAATTTTACGTCATGTTACGGTGACGAATGTTCAGTTCAGGAACTGATCGCGATTTGAGTGTTGAAATTCGATAGGTGCAGTTATAATAACTTAAAATTTTTGTTATCTGTTCAAAATGTGGGGTCCTTGGACAAGTACTAATAGTAATGACGAGTGTGATAACAACGTAGACTTTTGTCTGCTCACTGTGTAGTGATTCCAATAGCGATGGTGAACAATGCCAAAAACAGATACCAGTGAATAAGATTCGAATGCATTTGAATATTGAAACACTAGAGTATGTTTCGAAGTACATAAGAATCTACATCTCAAGTTTGGTTTCAAGGAAAACAAATTATTACAAGCAACATCAGATTTGACCGAAATTCCTTATTCAACTGTACGTAAAATAGTCAAAAACGAACCTTATGAACGCAAAACGCGATGTGATGCGGGATTACCAAAACCTTTAGATGTTCATCTAATAAAATCATTGAAAAATACAATATATGACTGTTACAAAAGCAATGAGATTCCTACAACTGAAATCATAAGGAAGAAATTGAATACTTCCGGCCATAACGTGAGCTACTGTGACAAAACTCTTCAGAATTGGATAAAGAAACTAGGATTTAGATTTAAAATAATAAACAAACGTCAAGCAGTTATGGAAAGCAGGAGAATAGTGGAATTGCGTAACAAATACTTAGAACAAATAACTAAATATAGGTAAGAACAACGGCAAATTTTCTATTTGGATGAAACTTGGTATGACACTCTTGACACAGTTATGAAAGGGTGGACTGATGGTTCGAGAATGTGTACGCCTAATATGCCTACAAACAAAGGATCGGGACTAATCATTGTGCATTGTGGAGGAAGTAAAGGATGGTTCCCGAATTCTTTGAAATTATGTGGAAAAAACTTGAGGACTGCAATGTTGACTATCATAAGAACATAGAAACTGATATTTTTGAGGAATGGTCCAATCTCCATATAGTCTTTTTCAACTAAAATTACTTTTTTAATCCTTTTCTGCCAGTCTTCTTCGGTAATATTAGATACTTCTTCTTTAACTAGCTCTATTACCCTCTTATCAAATTTTGGAAAATTATTTTTGCGCCTGATGCTTTGTTTCAATTTTCCCCAAATCAACTCGATGGGGTTGAAAACACAAAAATAGGGGGGAAGTCTCGGTATGGTGTGTCCATACTTTTCAGTAATACTCTCAAGGACATACATTTTTTCAAATGTTTTTATCTATAAAACTTCAAGTAGTTGGTTTTTGGTATAGTTAACTTCAAAATACAAATTTTTATTCATTAAAAACTTTGCATTTCATCTTTCCTCAAATTTTTATTCGGTACTTTGATGAGCTGTTGGATAGGAACCGTTGTCAAGAACTATTACACTATTCGCATCCAAATTTGGGATCAATGTGTTTTCAAACCATTCCTCAAAAATATCAGCTTCCATGTTCTTATGATAGTCAATATTGCAGTCCTCAAGTTTTTTTCCACATAATTTCAAAGAATTCGGAACCTATCCTTTACTTCCTCCGCAATGCACAATGATTAGTTGCGATCCTTTGTTTGCAGGCATGTTAGGCGTACACATTCTCGAACCATCAGTCCACCCTTTCATAACTGTCAAGAGTGTCATACCAGGTTTCGTCCAAATGGAAAATTTGCAGTTGTTCTTGTCTAAATTTAGTCATTTGTTCTAAGCATTTGTTACGCAATTCCACTATTCTCCTGCTTTCCATAACTGCTTGACGTTTGTTTATTATTTTAAATCTAAATCCTAGTTTCTTTATCCAATTCTGTCTGAGTTTTGTCACAGCAGCTCACGTTTTGGCCGGAAGTATTCAATTGTATTGTTTGTATTTTATTGTTTTTTTCAATGATTTTATTAGATGAACATCTAAAGGTTTTGGTAATCCTGCATCACATCGCGCTTTGCGTTCATAAGATACGTTTTTGACTCTTTTACGTACAGTTGAGAAAGGAATTTCGGTCAAATCTGATGATGCTTGTAATAGTTTGTTTCCCTCGAAACCAAACTTGAGATGTATATTCTTATATACATTGAAACATACTCTGTGTTTCAATATTCAAATGCATTCGAATCTTATTCACTGGTATCTCTTTTTCGCATTGTTCACCATCGCTATTGGAATCACTACACAGGAAAAAGTCTATGTTGTTATCACACTAGTTATTACTATTAGTACTTATCCAAGGGCGCTACATTTTAAACAGATATCAAAAATGTTGAGTGATTATAACTGCACCTATCGAATTTCAACACTCAAATCGCGATCAGTTCCTGAACTGAACATTGACAACACAACGGCGATACTCATCCCCACATTCTATTCGTCACCGTAACATGACTTGAAATTTAATTTTATTACTCTTCATAAAACTCGGTCAGTAAAAATTATCCAATATGAACCGCTAATTCTTCAGTCCACGAGGGCTAGTTGGCAGCGATGCCCAATATTTAGCGGTTTAAAATATATATATATAACTGTAAGTAAACCTGAAAGTATAGAGTTCTTATCTTAAGTTGTTTTTCTAGAAAATATTTATAGATATAAATTAGCGGCTCAAATAACTGTGTCTTTACAGTTTGGCATCCCTTTGAAATACTAAATTACTTATGTATTTAATATTATTGACCAAAAAGTTGAAAAAGTCTCAATATCATTTAGTATGAATAATAAAAAATAACATTAATGAATCAAAAAATCATGATAAGAAGTACTAATAAAATACTTTCACTGGGATGTAAAAATATTTAAAATAAATGAAATTCATTCGTACCCAATGCTGATGAACATACAGGAGGATGGACGGACCACTTTAGGTTCTACCACAGAATTACAACTAAGGTGCATCAAGTTGTTAGTATTTTCTGTGAGCGAAATCAACTTAATTAAATGACAAGATCCACTGAAGTCAAATGCATATGTCAGAAAATACCAGCATGAGTACATATCTCGGAATGGCTTAAGTTTTAAGTACTGTATAATACTATTTTTATCACAATATTATAGAAATGATAGGAAAAAAAATCAGTGCACGTAATTATAATAAACCAATGCAGGGTTTAGTCTCCATTACTATGGTCAAGTTAGTGACTCATATGTTGTGTAAGGTTTCCCAACAAAAACATCAGCTGAATATTTCTGAAGCCGATAGAACTATCATAAAGCCAGCAAATGAAGGTTTTCAGGGAGACTTATGTCTATAAAATATGGAGAAGACCCAGTATGTACAAAAAAAAACAATAAATACAAACGATAACATTTACGGTCATGAAACTGTTCAACATTTATTTCATAATTTCTGAAAAAATCAGTTAAATTAAAAAGATTAGCTTAAAAATAACAATTATATTAACAAAAAAAACTGAAATTACAATGAAATAAAATACAAGCAACAATTGAACAAGAAACGAAAATTGAAAGATTTCAAGCAAAGCTATTTCACGATGTTTCGATTGTGTATTCACCCGAAGACGATTGTGGATATTAACATTCGAAACGTCGTGAAGTAACTTGGCTTGAAATCTTTCAATTTTCATTTCTTCTTAATCGTTCAATTTTCAATTGCTGCTTGTATTTCATTTCATTGTAATTTCAGTTTTTTTTCTTAATGTAATTGTTATTTTTTAGCTAATCTTTTTAATTTTCTTTAGATTTTTTCAGGGATTTCAAATCATTTTATATCATATTAGACAATGGAAGTCCGAACTGATAAAATGCACCATGAAACAATGTCAACCACCTTCAAACTAATGTTCAACATTTACAAGATTTTTTCAGATTGACTCCCTAAAAACCTCTAAGTTATGGGCATTGGAGATTTTTGATATTTCCGTTTTGGAATGATTCAGGCAGTTTCAACAAAATCTTTGCCGCCATTGTGTAAAAATAGGGGATTTTTAGTATTTCCAAAATCGATGGAAGAGAAACCCTGTATCGTTGAGTTGATATGTTGAAAAAAACGGCAGATTGAATTTTGTTATTTACTTTCCAGAATAAAAGTATTAATTGATTGAAAAATAACAATGTTACACTGGGATGATGAGTTGAAAATAATTTCACGAAGTTGATAGCCCAAAAGTACAGCAATCCTTTGCAGTTTTGTTTGTATAGGAACTAGAGAATTTGTATTGAGACTGGAGATTGGGTTTTGTTGGATATTTTAAATTTTGTATTAAACTTCTTGTGAAGAGATTTCCTAATTATTCAATGACTTTTATAAGGTGAACCAACATAAATGTTTAGTGAAAAAGATTGAAGTAGTAAAAAAAATAGTGTTTAAAATTTATTTAAGTTTACTTTTTCCCTGCGTCAAATTCAAATGTTTTCACTTATTTAAAAAAAAACACCTCAAAAGGATTTTGTAGATTGACAGTAGGTTCAAAAGATTTCAATGAAAACAGAACATGGTTGATATAAACTGTATTTTCCCCAAAAACTGTTGAAATTCTCACCATTTGACCAACATCAATCCTAACACTAAAGATCCTATTGCATTTTTATGTGGAATAAACCACAAAGCATGAAATATCAATTGGCTCACAGGAATGTCAAGTATAAAATTGGATACTTCGGCATTATCAATTTTTTCTTCTTATCTGGAAATTGGTAATTAGATAGGTAAATTAAGGTAATTTTAATTTATTACATGTCCATTTACAAGAATTCTTGACATTCGTTCCCTATTGTTTAAATTTTCAATTAATCATTAAGTAATAATAATTATAATACTAATACTAATAATAATAATCGACTTTATTCATCACAAGACATAAAAGAAATCTGATTTGTATTTACATTACATTAATTGAAGATAACCTTATGACAAATGGGCAAAGTGTCAGTTAAAGCTGTTTTTGAACTCGACCCTAGGTAGAAGGTCATATGACTCAAATTGTTAAATTATATAAAGCACTTCAATAAGTATAATTTAGTTATTATGAACAAGACTGAAGAAGCTGTTGTATAGTTATAATTGAACACAATTCTCTATTCAAAATACTATCTCGATAAATGAAACTTGTAGTAGATTAATCTGCATCTGATATTCTGTATTAATATGAGTTTCAAAGAAATATTGATGTTCAAGAGTACTTGTTGTTTTTGATCTAGTGGCTAATAGTTGGAATGGCCCAGTCCAGAAATGGTTAGGTACTATTTCAATTGAGAGCTTAAACGTAAAGTTTATGAATAATAAAAATCACAGAAAGAAGTTTTAATATTTTTAGTCATGGGAACTTTACTGTCAACCACAGTTAAGGATATATAATGTCTGGAGTTTGCAAAAAAATCGCCCCGATGTAATGTGAAATATTATAAGTTTCATGTGCACTTCAGGTCACAAATGTAGCCCAGTATGTTTCTAAGCACAGTCCCTCGGGTGGTGCTGACACATTTTTTGTCAAGAAATTGATATCGAGAGTATGTACTCATTTTATTTTAGATAATGGTCAAAATTCGAATGAATCCATTTCCTAACTTCTTTATTAATCTCATTAAGAAAAATAAGTTAGTATCATCTCTGGTTTCTCCCTTGGCGACAATATGAAAACTACATACTTTTGCAACAACTCGGTGTACATATCCCAAATTTCATCTTCTTTTATATAAAAAAAAACCTTCATGCTTAATAATTTTGTGAACCACAAAAAATTGCGGCACAAGAACCTGTTTTTATGCTTCTTTCATAGTGAGTAAAATTAAATATCTTACAAAGAAAGAAATTAGTTAGATGTATGAAACGTGCCTTTGGAAGTCATCATTCAGGGTCATCTATAAATGAGACGAGATTTATACAAAAATAAACTCTGTTGCACTTCATTTTAATCTGATACTTTTGAGAGAACTGAAAATCACCAACGAGGATAAGGTGATGAGATCTTGCCCTGGAACAAGACATGGGTGCCATTTTACATTTGGGGATCATTTATTTTTGGATCACAATAATCAACAGGTATCTGCAAATATGGCGTTTTTCAAATAATATGAAAAAACCTTGACTAACATTTGTTGGGTTCCCATGCAAATTTCTAAAAACATTTGAAGTTTGCAACTGCAAGTGAATTATACAATCTAATAACTTGGTGAACAAGCGCAACAGTATATCCTTCAATTACCTAATTTGAATGAAATGAAATTTGAAAAATATAAGGAATAACAAATTTTGAACAAAATATTTTTCTAATATACTTTACTACTAACAAATATTTGCATGAAATTTTTACAGAAGGCACTCTTATGAGACTGCCATTTATAGAGATAGATAGCACTAATGCTACGAGTCAAAATGGAAGGCTGATCATTGTTCATTCTGAAAAAATCAAATTCATTTTGCTACTAATGACATTCTTGAAATGTAATATATTGAAGAAAGGAAATAGAGTAATGGTGTACCAGAGAGACTGAGGCCTTGTTTATTTCATTTTATTATGATTTCCAAAAGCTCTAATATATTGAGTAGCTTTTTGTTGTAGGTTGGACAATATTTTTTGCTTTTACATTTTCAGATATTTGAGAAATTTAGGTAAACTATTGTAACAAATCTCTCACTACTAAGTGATAAACTAAACTATCTGATCTTGCTTGGAAACACAGTTCCTCAAGTAAGGCATGAAAATCACTGTTTTAGAGAAAGAGTAACTATTTGACTATCAACAGTAATTGCCAAAAAATGCATACACTTTCTATTTTATGAGATTTGTTGAAGAAGTATTTGAAAATGTTATTTTAAAAAACATCTTGACATACACGTTTCTTGATGTTTGAAGTATTGCTTGCATCAACATATATTAAGAAATATTCATATATGTATTACCTATACCTATTATTAGCAGACACAGAACTAACTTTTTGTTAAATCACTGGAGAAAAGTTGAATATTTCATTGAGCAAATTTCAATTGAACAGAATTTGAGTTTTTTCTGATGCTGCCAGGTCATAAATTCTTCAACTTATCCTCGTATGTTGAAATGAAATTTTGAAAATTGGTGCTTTTAAAAACAACCCTGTAACAGCCATTTTTACAACTATTGAAAATCGGTTTACATGTTGAAGTCGTCAAACTTCTGGTGATTACAAAAAACTGTTACACACAAAGCTTTGGTTTCGAAATTTCTTACATACTGGCTGGCAACGAAATCATAGTACATGGTGTCGTTGAGTTGTTTGTGTGGTAATTATTTTATGTGGTAATATAGTTCACTGAAGTCTAATTATAAAGCAATTGAGAACATATTTGAAGTCAAGAATTGTATATACAACCCTATATACTATTTTAGACCATTTGAAAGTATATAAAATTCTCTTTTCAGTGATACGTCATAAGTGATACTTTTTATTCAAATCGTGGAAAATAAAGTAAAAAAAAAAAAATTTGTTTAGTTTTCAAGGAAAAATTCAGAGTAGAGATTTTGCACCAATTTGATTTCATTTATCTTGAACATCTTGATAGGGGGTGGTGATTTTGTAACTGTACCTAACCTAACCTATCTGAATCGTTTTCCTATATCAGTAACAAAGTAAGTAAATCATTATTAACTCACAAAGTGGATACTCACAAGATAGAGCGAAACTTTCACTTTTGAAATGGCACAGAAAATAATTATTTTTTTTTCAGTTCAAGAAGTACACTTCAATGTTTTCTTGAAAACAAAGCAAACTTTGTCGTTTCTTTCTCACATCAAGTTGTTTGGCGATATTTCCATAGATGGCGTCATAGTGCCGCCCGCGCCATTTTGAATTTGAAGATAAGGGCTTCTATGACAAAATTTTGATAAAAATGACCACTTGTATTATATCGTTAAACACAGTGTTTCTTCACCTTTGGTCCGCGGACCCCAGAGGGTCCGCGAGTATATCTATCTATAAGTAAATAAATGCCAGCAAGTCTGGTAATCGCTGTCTAATATCTTCAATGCCCATAACCAGCCGAACTTAAGTTTAAAAGGAAGAGATAACAACATCTTCCAAGTTGAAGATAAAATAGAAACTATGATAAAAAAGCTTGACCTACACTGGTAGTGTTTTTGGAATAGTAAGGACAAGTACAAGACAAAATAATTAAACACCTCCACGGTTTGGAGTCTTCTTTCCGGGATTATTTTCTTGAGCCCGACAGAAATAAAAACTGGATAGTAGACCCTTTCAACACATATGTTTCAAATATCACCGACAGGAAAATCAATCAAAAGAAATATCATGTGAATTTAAAAAAGTTAATAAGGAAATTTTAGAAAAATCACTGAAACATTTACTGCTTTTCTCACCCACATACCTCTCTGAAAAAGCATTCTCTGCTCCTGTATAATCAAAAACAATTACAGAAATAGATTGCAATTGGAATCCGATTTGAGATTACAACTACATTAATAAAGTATTTTTAATTTTTATAAAGACGTTATTTTTTTGCAGTACTAAAATAAATTTTCTGAAATGTATTCCTGTGCTTTTTATTTGGTGGGCCCTTGAAATTGCGCTTGAATTTCTAGGGATCCGTGGACTGAAAAGAAAAGTGTTAAGAACGGCTGGTTTAACAAATAATTTCATATTCTATAAAATCGTTGAAAAAGATATACAAGGTACTATTGAAAATTCTTCTATTTCCGGTTAAAACAGAAGGAATTTTTAACTATCTTACCAATTGAAATACCGGCTCCATTGACCTATACTTGTATTCAAGATTTCTCACAAACAACTGAATAGCGTCTTGTACAATGGTTTCGTTGTCACACTATATATATTACAAAACCAATTGATTTTTATTTGAGGTAATATATCAATGTCATAAAAAAATTTAATTTTAATAAATGACAAACAAATTGAGGTACTAATAGAGAGCACCCCTTTGATACAAATCTAACATCACATTCTTCTTAAAAAACCTTGCCAAACAAGGTACAGAATAATAAATTGTACTCATATAATTATCCTACATATCTTACATATTCACTAAGATTCCACAAGCATAGCCAAATACATAACCTGTCAGTTAGCTGTGCTTGTTCGTTGAGATCTTGACCAAGGCTGTTCTCGTGCACTGGCAAACGCAATATAAAACAAGTTTGTGCCTATATTTATTCCAGCTGCTAAGTAGAAAACCATTCTCCACTGTCCCAAAGTTTCCTGAAATATAAGAAAATACTTTATATACTGGGAAGATAGTGTAACAATGAAATGATTTCCATAACAATTCATTACTGTTGATTTTTTAGCAAATGTATCCATAATAACAACTAAATTAGTAAGTTTCACATAATTTAGAGTAGGAACTCTAAATTATGCTAGGCATTGGCCGATACTTGATGAAAATCCATAACATATTTACAATTGACAAAACGCATACCCTGCGTATGTAAACTTTCACGACCGGAGATAACTTTGTCAGAGATATTTTCAGTTTTCTTTTTGGTCGAGAGCTGCAATTTCCAGTGCGGTAGACATTATTAAAGTCGATGAGGTACCGTCAAAGTGCTCAAATTGTTCACAACTCAAAAACTAAAATGTTGAAATTTGTCTCCAGTTTTATATAATAATTGGTGGGCGTAGCTTCATTTCTCTTAATTGGATCAAATGACTTTCTCTTCTTTTCTGTTGAAATTATCCCTGTTTCTGAATTTCTATTGTCTCTCTACCTACATATTCTTGGATAGTAATTTTGAGTTTTTTCAAGTATTTGTGTATCTTTGGAGGAGGTCCTTCGTTGAGAGCATGTTCGGTTATAGTTGATTTGTTGGTTCATCCGAGTCAACAATTTTTCTTGTGTTCAGAAATACAGGTACCTACACTTCTTTTCGTGGTTCCAATGTAGACCGATCCGCAGCTACAATGAATTCGAAATACTACGGGTGTTTAGAGGTTCTCTGAGGTCCTTAGCTGACCATATACTCTCTCTGATATTCTACCTTTGGTCTGCCTGTACATTATGGAAATTACCTGTTATATAACGTATTCAAAAAACACTTCATTGTGAGATTTTCACTAAACGATTTTACAAAAACGCAACAGGTGCAAGTCGTTATTGAAAAGATGAATAAGTCTTTGAAAAATATTGAGTTGTACCTTGGAATAAATAAACTGAAACTTAATATCACTAAAACTAAGGCGATCATCATTACAACAAAGTATAAACAACAAAATAAAATTGGGAGAAACACAGTCAAATTAAAATTAACGAAACTGATGTAAGAAATGCTGAGTACAAAAATAGGGTCCATTGTAGATAATACAATTTCATTGAATGATCATGCTGCCTATGTAATAACTAAATTATCAAAGAAACTGGGTTTTCCTGCAGCTGAAAAAGCAAATGCGCCACTGGAATCAATGAAGTCGCCCCGGATCGCCAATTAATTTTTATTGTTGTTTTTATTTTATTTTTATCGTTGTTTTAAGAAACTGTATTTTTTTCCTAGAGTGGCGTCTGTATTATCAATGTATGCCAAAATAACGTGCTATAATTGCATAATAAAACCTCATTATGATTTTTGCGGGACTCTCTTATATCTCTTGAATCAGAACAAATTAAATCAATTACAAAAATTACAAACTCGTGGGATGCGAATAATATTACTCTGCAATAGGATGACACCTATACATAATATGCTCTGTAGTTTGAGGTGGCTTAATGTCTCTCAACGACTATACTATCAAACTATGATATTCATATTTAAAATTATAAATAAATTGCAACCAACATACTTAGTAAACCTTTTAATCATCATGATAGTAGATCGAACACCAATTTTCACATCCCAAGGACAAATTCACGAAGCAGTATGAACTCATTATTTTTCAAAGGTCTGGACAGTTTTAATAAACTGCTGAATAATATAAAAAATTCTTCTTCTCTCCATCTATTCAAGAGGGACTTGGTAACATTCATAAAGAAAAACTGAATTAAAGCTAATTTATATTTAAAATATAATAACAGATAAGACTTTGTTTTGATTGAATATATAAGTAAATATGTAAACGTGTATCCTATATAGAATATGTGTGATATAGTTTTTTTCTTATTTGTGATTTTCTGTTATTTGGTTATAATAGACTAATTCATTTTGATTTTTATGTATTATGCTTAGATAAAGTACATTAATTATGTTTATATGGCTTGCCTATCTGGAAATAAAGTTCTTCTTCTTCTTCAAAAGCAATCGCCCAGAATGAATATCAAAACTAGACATAACCATTCCACCTATCCAAGTCAAAATAACTTTCAAATAATGTCAAATAGTCTATTTTCAATCGGTCAAGAATCTACAAAAAATTTTGAAACATCATGAAAATATTTCTCTCCAGACATTTATCTCTGATTTTTCAAAAAAAAAATATCAATTTAGTGATGTTATTGTATACTGGTAAGGGTCTTTGAATGAATAAAGTAATTTGAATTAGTTGTCAGATATCACATTTCCAACAAATGAGATGTGGAAATGTAGTTATAGAAAGCCAAGTTCAACATATGAAAGAATATAACACCAGAATTAGAACACTAAAACAGTATTAGTCATCTGATAATGCTAATTTGGCAAGCAGAATGCGAGTTGAAAGACAGTGCTCTAGTTATTGTGTAGGAAAAGTGTTGTCATTAAATTTGTTTTATTTAATCTAACGGTTAGTTCATGAAAATCACAAAGCAAGTAACATATCAGCAAGGTCAGTGGATAATTTGAAAAGTTGATTTCATAAAGTAATTTACTGAACCTAAATATGACTCACCCTTCCTTCAATGATCAATCCAATAACATACGGTGCTAAAAATCCACATATATTTCCAGCAGCATTTGTTATGCCATACATCGTTCCTGCATATTTTGGACTCAAAGCTATGTGATTCATCTGACAACCAGCATATGACGCACCTCCGAAAGCACCAGGTATAGCTAATAGTAATTGTACTGCAACTCTATCACAGCCAACGTAAGCTACTCCTAATAAACCCAACGAAGGAACGATAGAAGCTATAACAAACATAAAGTTGAAAAATTACAATAAAATAATCTTTATTACTAAAAACTGAACTTCATACTTTATATTCCAAGTTACCCACCTATGGAATTGAACAATTTGTATGATGTTGAAAGTGACAAATATCCTTTGCTTAGTAACCAATCTGCAAAAATGCTGATCAAAATTCCACAGATCCAACTAGTTAGATATGGAATGGCTGAAAGTAAAGAGTTCTGAAACATAATTTGAAATCAAAATTAGTAATAGATTAGGAAAAATTTAGTATTAAAAATGTAATGACCCAAATTGAATATGTAAAACAAAAAATAAATTCAGTCAATTTCGCATTATATGAAAACTTCAAGGTGATAAATATGCTCTTTCCTGGCTTTGGTTTTTATTACCATGATTAAATATTTATAAATGGTCTCTATTTTACTTGATGGAGTTCAAAAGAGTATTCGTTCACTCAAACTGGAACCCACTAACAACCTAAACAACTTGCCTTGTCTTTATCTCGAATAAATGAATAAGTTGCCTTCTGGTACAATGGAATGATGAATAATTGAAATTTTGGTTAACTATATTTCATAGATCACTTATTCTATTAGTGGAGTAAGGTGTTTAATGGCCATGCGCCATCGACCATTGACGCAAATCCGACTGCAAGCAATTGCTTGATTTATTTAGATAGATAATTTATTGGTGTTTTATACATTCATCAGTATTTACACAAGTCAATACATACATATTAATAAAATTAGCATATCTTAGGCATCTATTAATATTTACATAAACAATTGATGCTTGCAATTCAAAGAACAAGGTTTTTTTATAAAAAATATTTATACCTATCTTATACAGTACATCTGAGTTATGTCAACGAGCATATTTAAAAACAGAGCAGTAAAATTTAAATTGGGTATTATAAAACAAAGACAAATGTCTTTATGGTTAAAGAATTATATCACAGTGCAGGAGTTCTTCAGTGCTGGAGAAGGCGTTTTTTATTAAAAAATATTTTATCCTTATTTTGAATATATTATTGGGTAGAGATCTTATTTTTTGTGGTAATTTATTGTAAAGTTTCACAGAGCAAAAATTTGGTCCATTTTGACATCTTTTTAAGCGGCAGTAGTTTATACTCAAATAATGTTTATGCCTTGTGTTGTGGTTGTGCAGATTTTCAAAACTTTCATATTGAGATAGATTATTTTTTATGTATATTATAGTATATAAAATATTTCTCAATTAATGTGCAATTCTTGAATGCCTTCTTTCTAAGCATATGTCTGATGCGGTTTTACCAATATCAATCCTTGTGATTCTATGAACCATATTCTAAAAGATAAGACCACATTGATCCTTAGCTCGTAGAAGTTTCGATTTCAGAGAGTTGCCTTCTGAATACGAATGACAGCATATTTTCTCAATAAATTATATTCATTTTATACAATCGTAAGAGCTAAAAATAAATTATCGATAATAGCAAGACTGAAATCTTCAATTAATTGACTGAGTGGCTACAGTATGCGACTCTCATTTTAAATGACGAGTATCAGAGTTGTTTGGTACTGTTTTCGACTGAATTATATTTGGCCTGATAATCAAATCAACATTCCAAGATGTTAAAATGTCATGGTACCGTTAACTGTGCTTGATGTCTACTACTGAGCTGAGGAGTTAATTTTTGTCCCAAATAGGCAGAAATCTTTTCGTAGAAGTTCATGAATAAAGCATACAAAATGAAGATGGCTTTTTTGCGTCATTTTCAACTGATCATTTTTTTTAACTTGGGGGAACATGTAATCCATATGGTATTATTCCAGAAAAGAGATCTGTACTTTTGAAAACCCAGATGTTGTTGTTTTCTCATTGCAGATATTTTGTCTGTGTCTGTCCTGTCATATGTACAGAAGATTATGGCAGCTTAATTAGTTACATTGAAAATTAGGCTAGGATCTCTTGATACACGAACATTTTTTTTCTTTTCTTCATTAAAGTTATAGTAAAACCAATAATGATTGAGAGTAAAGCGCGTTGTCATATCTAAATTTTACGTTACCAGTCTATAGCAGAATCAAAATATAGTAAGCAGTAGATTTGTAGGTTGTGGCAAATTATAGATAATACACAATACTAGTACGATTAAAAGGTATTATTTATGACAAAAATCAGTAATGAGCTTGTAATGAGTAATACTTATACATTTCCTGATTACTGATCAGTTAAAATTCATTATGTTCTGTATAGTGTTAGATATTTATTACAACTAGTGGCAACGCTGTACGCAACGATATTTCTGTCTTTGTCACTTTAC